CCCATATTTGCTCCTGACATCAACCCCGCCCCCTCTGGGAGGAGGGAAAGCTCTGCCTATCCCAGCGGTACTCCTGTCTAGACCACAAACAGAACAGTAAAAGGGAAGATCGACCCAGAGGACAAAATGGAAGGGATGGGAATCGAGACTCAAAACTGGTTAGCGGAACAAACCAAAACTGAGTTGGTGAAGACTGTGAAATATGTAGAAGTGGAAAAGAACAGAAGAGAAGAAACAGTGGTCTACGAATACCTGAAAGAGCACATTCAGAAACTGGATGAGTTTCATGAAAGGAAGAGCCAAGAGTTGAATCGCCCGGCCAAACTAAAGTGGATATGGGACAAACTCAAAAGTTTGGAACCAGTGCAAGGAGATGAACCTAAAATCTCATTCCACCATCGAACCAGGAATGTGATTATGGTCATCTGCAGGGACCCATCTTACGCGGATTTCCTGAGGAACAAAACCTTCACCTGCAATTCCTCCGTGGTGACAGTACATCCATGGAAACCGGACACCCCTTTCCAAATGACGCCTTCCCGATACAGACAAGAGCTCATGAAGAAATTCTTTTGGGTACAATTCGATAACGTTCACGAAGGCCTGCACGGGGGGATCAAACAGCGCCTGCAAATAGAGTACGACCAATTCAAAGTGATTGACTGGATCATCGCAATGCCAGATTTCCTGATCCCGCAGCACAACACCATGACAGTGTGCCTGGATCTCAACAATGGTATCCCTCCACAATTGCCAGACTACTGGTACTTTGTGGTGAGGGACAGGACCATCAAAGTCACAGTGTCCTCAAAAGGCAATCCAATGTGCTTCAAATGCAGACAAAGAGGGCACATGGGAACTGACCCCCGCTGTCCGAAAAACATTGAGACGGCCAAACCCAGAGCACTGAGACAGACGAGCCTGGCTGAAGTGGAAGGGGAGCCAGGCTTCTGGTATGTGAGAAACTCTCAATACATTGGTTGGGTGTTCAACGACAACCTGCCAAACCCGGACTGGGTCTGGGTCTTGGAAGGAGAACCAACACCTAGGCCTGACGTCTACCCACCCTCGGACAKCAGATGGCACACATTGAAGATGGAAAGGAAGTCTGCAAAGAACTTCACAAGGGAKCCAGTCCTAAACCTGGAGAAAATGCAGGAAGAACGTTGCCTCAAAGATCTGATCATGGACCTCAACGAAACAGGCGAAATGGCAGAAAGAGAATTTCTGGAGAGAGAGAAGAGAAGAACAGAAAGAAAAATGGAGATAGAAACAGACGAAAACCAGCCGCTGACTACGTACTCAAGGAGAGGACCACAAAAAACACAGATGCAGCAGCAAGATGAATCAGCAAGGATGGAATTGGACAACACAGGAACAATCAAAGGAAAAACCAACACAGACCAACAGGCACCAGGCGAGGATGACAAAGTAACGGTGGGGGAAAAAAGAAAGAATCCTGAAGAACGAAAGGGATCTACAACCAAGAGAGTCCAGTTGGAGGACCCAGAAGAAGACAGGGAACAAAGCAGTGAAGAGGAATGTGAACCATGGGGAGACGCAGCGATGGAGGAAATACAAGAATACATACAAAAGGCCAAAAGAGAGAGGGAAGCCAGATTTGAACTACAAATGGCCTATTTCAGGGAAGAGGAAAAACTCAGACAAAAATCAGGAGCAGGAGATTCCCCTCACATCCTTCCCCTGTCCCCAAATCCGTACGCCTCACTAGAGAAGGAAGAGGAGATGACAACCCAGTATGCAGAACAATACTGCAAAGCCAAGAGAGATCAGACTTTGAATGAGCAGGGTCTAAACACGAAGAAAGAGAACAATTGGAGGAAGGACAGGTACAACATGCCAACACTCCCGGAAACGTACAGCGGGAGGAAAAAGGACGAAGCCCAAAAGAAGGCGCAAAAAAAAGAGGAGAAGAAAAAGAAGGAACAGATTGGGTCCGAAGGAGCAGAAACAGAAAACGAGGACACCAGCAAAGAGGGAGAGGAGAGGAGGCAGCTGGTCCTGAAAGCAGAAATATTGGAGTCATAGGTGGTAAGGTTAAGCCAGCTCAACGATGAGCTCAGTCTGAAAACTGTAACAGTGGAGGGCCTGAACGACCAGTCCCAGTTTGCTTTCTGGGAAAGAGCAAGGCAAGAGAGCAGAACTCTGCTACCTTCGAGGATAGTAGTCCCGATCAAATGGGATGCAGCCACAAAGGATTGGCAAGTGGCAGCTTCCTCCAACTTCGCCTTTCTGAAGYTGGAAAGAGGACAGAGCAGAGACRAGTTGCTATCAAAAGTCGCACCAACAGCCRAGCCTCTAGCAACAGGGCTGGCGGGAGAACCCCTCAAAGTGCAAGAGCTAGGTGAGAGGGGGGAGGCAAAGGAAGGAGCCAGCCTGGACACGAGGCCAATTATAGTCCTATACGACTCAGACACTACACTGGGAGAGGAACTGCAGTGGAGGCCATGGTGGGAAATAGCACAACTTCCTTTCACGGCGYTGGGATCGGAAACAACAATGATCCTTTCGGCAGCAAGCATGGCTACARCACTCGCTGCAAAGATCTTCGCCAAAGGAATCRAAGGCCTGAAGAAAGCTYTGAAGGCAATGGGAGAAGACACGGGGGAACCCTCGCTAAGCCAGGAACCTTTGCAGCTTCCTACCCTCTCTTCCTAAACCAACTGCACTGAAGGAAACTGACAGACCTCTAACCTGTCCAAATGCCTGAGGACAGGGGAGCTCTAGAAAACAGAACAGCCAGAGCTCCAAGGACCAACARCAAGGACAGGGGAGAGATAGAAATCAGATCATGGAATGTAAGAGGGCTAACAACAATCCTAACAACACCATCCAAGTGGTACAGCTTCGTAGACATGATTGGATGGATGGATAACCATCCTCCTGACATTCTCTGCATTCAAGAAACACACCTGGCCGCATCAGCAGAGCATCAAAACACCGTTCAGGAAATATTAAGAAGGTTAAGACACATCAAACACGCGGAATGGGCAACTAGCCCCAGCGCTAGTTCAACAGGAGTATTAACACTAGTACACGAAAAGTCGAATGCCGCACAATTTCTACAAGTAGAGGGCACCTCAAAGGATGAACAAGAAGGTCGGTGGACAAGAATAGATTTCTCATACAGAGAAGAAGATTTAACCTTAATCAACACTTATGCTCCAAACTCAAACTCGCAAAGAAGAACCTTCCTAAAACTAATAAAGCAAGAATGTCCCAACGAAAGGCATCTAATCCTAGCAGGGGACTGGAATGCCACCCTAGAACCAACCATGGACAGAATCTCCCACGCCAGAGAAACCACAGATGAATTTGAGGCCCAAGTAATGCTAGAATTCCTAACAGAAAAAAACTTAAAGGATCCGTACAGAATGCTAAATCCTACGACAAAGGACTTCACCTGCATCTGGGTATTAGATTACGAATCTGATACAACGCCATGTCGTGCCACGGTAATTCCTTGTGTAGGATTAGCCTAATTATCCATTTGGTTTGCAGAGCTTTGTACTCGTTTACTGGATTTATCAAGCCTAGCCCCCCTTTTTTCGCTGGTCTGGTTATGTACTTCCAAGCTACCTTCGAGATGTAGCTGTCTTTGGCTGGATCCCCTGTCCAGAGATAGGCTCCCGCTTTCCTCTTCAGTGATGAGATGAAGTGTTGGGGAGGGTCCCATATCGAAGCAGTGTACCATGCCATGGAGAAGATGGATGTGTTTAGCACTAGAGCTCTTCCTATGAGCGAGGTGTAGACCTTCTGTCAACCCGAAAGCTTGTTTATGATTTTAGCCAGTATGTTCGGACCTATGCTGTCGCTGGTTCCCTCCGCTGAGATTGAGATTCCTAGGAATCTCATTGGTTCTAGAGGGCTGATCCATTGTAAGCCTTGTGTGTGGGTTGACTCTGGGGGGGGAGGTTGTTCGGACAACCACCATCCCACTGTTTTTCCCCAATTAATTTTCATTTCTGAGGCGAGCTGGAATGCTTGCATCGCTCTTGTCAAGGACTGGAAGGATGAGTCTGTAGCTCTGATTAAGACCGTAAGGTCGTCCGCGAAGAGCATGACCGTAGGGAATGAAATAGCTCTGTCTGTGCCATCGAGGACTAGCCTATCAATCGTCGGGTCCTTGCGTAGGAAAGCAGTTATTGCTTCCATTACGAATAAGAAGATTGGAGCTGCTAGTGGGTCACCTTGCCTCACCGATCTTGTCATTTTGTAGGTGTCAGACAAATGGCCATTTACTTGAACTAGCCCTCTTGCATCTTCGTATAAAACTTTTGCCCATCTTCTAAAGTTTGGGCCTGTTCCCATCCGTTCCATGTTGAGTTGTAGGAAGTCCCAGTTTACTTGGTCGTAGGCCTTTTCAAAGTCAAAAAATAATATGGTTGCCTGCATTCTTTTGTCCCTTATTAGCTTTGTTGCCTCATTTAGGCATATTACATTGTCTAGTATATATCTGCCCGGAATAAAGCCAGTTTGGTCTATGTGGAAACACTTGTCTGTGACGTTCTTTATGCGGTTAGATAGGGTTTTCGCTAGTATTTTGTAGGCTACTGGGAGAAGAGTAATAGGTCTGTAGTTTCTGATATCTTCTCTTTCCCTTTTCTTATATAGGAGGGTGACTATCCCGGTGCTCAGTTCTTCCCCTAACGATCCTCTTTGGAAGGCTTCCTGGTAGAACTTGAAGAGGTCTTCCCCTAACACGTGCCAGTTTTCTAACCAAAATTCCTTGGTCAGTCCGTCTTTACCTGGGACCTTGTTGGGTTGCATACTTCTCAATGCTTCGTAAAACTCATGTTTCGTGATGTCTTTGTCTAGATACTTAGCAACTTCGGGTTTTATGCTGACTTCCAAGTGTTTTAGGAACTTTTCCCTTGCCTGGCGTACCTCCGCCTGGTTCTCCTCTGCTGCCCTTGATGTGTATAGGGTGTGGTAAAAGTCTGTGGCTACTTTAAGGATGCCTTCCTGTGTGGATATCACTTTGCCTTGTTTGTTTTTGAGCCCAAGGATTCGGTTATTCCGACAATTTGATTTGATTCGTTGGAAGAAGAATTTAGACATGGTTTCATTGCTTTCCCAATCTTTCACTCTTGCCCTTATGGCTAATCCCTGCCTGTTCCAGTYTGCCCATTTTTTGAGTTCTTCCCTTGCCTGCTCTAGCAAGTCCTCGTACATAGGTGAGTCGGGGTTGTCTATTAGGTTGAACTTTGCTGTCTCTACTACTGCTTCTAACATTTCTTGTCTTGCTTTTCTCTTTTTGGCCTCAAGTCTTGATGCCTTGCTTAGCCATTTGCTGACTTCTAKAATTGCTTTTGGCAKACTGTTTAGAATCCCTATATTGGTGTTCTTTAGTCTATGGGTTTCCCATACCTGCTTAACCCCTTGCTTGAAATGTTCTAGCTTGATTAGCGAGTTGTTGAGTTTGAAAAAGCTCTTACCTGGCATGTTGCTCATTGAGAATGTTAGATGCATCCCTATTTGGTTGTGGTCAAAACCCCCGTAGTAGGGGAGCTTAAAAATTTTTGTGCTCTTTACTGGCCCCTCAAGTGAATCTGATATTAGGAAGTAGTCTGTTCTTAGGAAGGAGAGTCCAGCGTCGGTCCCAACTATGGCCGACACTCCGCAGGCCCAACTATGTCTGTCTTCTCCAACGCTGAAGCTGTCACCACTTCCAGTTCATGTGTTGCACCGCAGCGACGTACAAGGTACCAACTGCCAAAAGCCCTGAAGCGTTGTCTACAATCTATCTATAG